CTCTCTCTCTCTTTCTCTCCTCTCTCTCCTCTCTCTCTCTCTCTCACACAGTCATCAGCAGTGCACATCCGATCATCAAGCCCTCCTCTCTATCTCTCTCAACTCCCTCTCCATGCCACCAGTAATACACAGCAATTTACAAAGCACTCTCTCCCGCTCGGACTGCACGCGATGTCTGTATACTATAGATTCTGCATTCGAACCAATATCAATAGGCTTCATAGGTGGAATACAAGGATTGAATTGGATCGATATAGAGTGGGAGGCGAGTAGCTGATGGCGACAGCTCGACAGAGGACCGCCGTGGAAGCCCTGTCGATTACACACTCCGATATATTCGTGTTATCAAACGTGAAATGGCTTCCGCTCGACTCATCAACTCTACTTGTGTGTATGAACGCTGCCCACGCTATACTGCATGGCGTTTATCGCTTTATAATGATACGCATCATATACACTAGAGCATTTCATCTTCGCTGGAAACCAGAAACGCGGCCACTGGCACGGGAACAACGTACAGGGAAAACAGGGATGCGGAACACGCAGCTTCCCGGATGAAACTGCATCCCGGGGTCATCGAGCTGGGACCGCGTATATTGTTAACGAAAGACAATTTATTAAAATGCTTCTGATTAATTCAGTTTTTTAATTCAATTTAATTAGAGCATGAGGAAATATCAATCAGGTAAACATTTTCGGGTATGTTTCTCTCAGTGGCTTATTTCAGCTCCTTGAATGCAACGTGAGTTTTAACAGAATGTCTCTATAGCAATAATTCGCAACTACAACATACTGGTAGATCCAGTTGCATGCTTCCTAACATATGCGATACCAAAAACAACATTTAAACCCTATATATACCAAACATTTTTGCCTGTCAACATAATACCAGGAATACGTCTACGAAGCCGAAAAAACTCAAGCAAATAAATGGAGAGGCATATGCTAAAAACGCACCCACACACGGCGCCCCCGAAACGCGAACTACCCTCACTCTCTGCGTCGGCAAAGAGCACGACTCCCATAGCTAGATTCTAGTTCGCGTGTGACGCTTCCAAATAAACTTATCGGTGACTGTCTCTTCATTTTCGTCACTTGCTGTTAGTAGAATATACAACGGCATTAAAATGCACTTCAGTCTTTAATCTGTGCAGGCCTCTTCAGCCGGTTTTGCACTGGGCCTTGCATTCTCCACACATGCACGCATGCATTCATGCGTTGATACCACATTCAAGGAGTACCACTCCTAATTATCAAGTGGCTCTGACGACACTGGAATCGTTGTGAAACACGAGCTGTGATTCAGGCGTGAAGTTTCAAATGGTTCCTTTTTTGTGCGGTGAACGAGGCACACGTTGATTGGTTTGCCCGGAGTTGGTGCGTATGTAAGCAAATGCATCATTCTTACGAATAGTTGCACACTCACGCACGAACGCATACACACGCACGCATTCACACGCACAAATCAGAATAGCATACAATAGAATAGCAGAATAGTATCAGAACATCGTAGATTAGACTAGCAGAATAGAACCAAAAAAACTATTATAGAATAGCAGAATCAAATCAGAACAGCATAGCAGATCTAGAATAGAATAAGAGCCGCATAGCATGGAATAGAGGAATAGAATCAGAACAAATAGCAGAGTAGAATCAGACCCGCATAGCACGGAATAGCGGAATAGAATCAGGGAGCGCTCTCTACCTTACTGTAAGATTCACGCACGTTGCAAAAAGACGTGAAAAAACCCCGCTCGCGGCAGTGCGTCGCATCTACTTTTAGCCACAGCAGCATCATCACCATCATCCTCATACAGCTTCAGGCTTCGCTGCTGCTAGATGTCTGGCTGCTGATGCGGCAGCGCGTTGGTAAGAAGAGAGAAAGCTCAAAATATCACGCAGGAATTTACGACAGCAGCCGTCATCATCGATCGACTCAAGGCCAAATCAGCAGCGGCATTACACTGGCGGGCAACGTCTTCAATGACTGTTTGATCCGATCACGTGTTCACGGTGAAGGATGATGAATCACGTACATGACGGTACGTGAACACATGAAGCACGAATGGAGGCTAACGCAACACGAAGACATGCGTAAATCCGTAAGGTCACGCAAGGGTAATCCGAAAAGTGTCCTTTATAGACAGGTGTGACGTTCTATACAGACTGTTTCACTGTATCAACTGCCATTGAAGGAAAATGCTGAAAAATAGTGTCCTCTATAGATAAAGTGTCTGTTCTATAGAGGTGTCCGCTAATACAGGTTTGACTGTACGTAGATGCACGTCGCTTATATTTTCGTAACAGATATGTACAGATATGTACACTGTACAGATAATATGTATATATACATGACATGTCATATATGTGCATGATAGTGTCTCTCGTGTGACCCGACTCCTAATTGCAAATATGATGGTCCCTGCTTTATCGAAACAGGTCGGGAACCATACCACGAAAATGTCCCGATTAAGCGGTGATCCCGCTTAGTTATATGGTCAACACATAACAAAATTATGTGTCAAAATTTATAAATTGCTTTAGTTACGTTACGCGTCGTTTAAGCGATGCGACCGTTTATCCGAGGCCCGATAAAGCGAGGCCGCTGTATCTATGCTTCGGATCTCTGCGATATCAATGCTACGTGCATCCGCTTCATTAACCCCGCTCACCGAGCATCGATTTCGGAATTCATCCGGGCGGTTATCAATCGAAATGTAACCCGCCTACCGGAGACAATCATTGCATTTACGTAGTTGAGAACTGAATTTAGATGATTGTGTGTGAGTTGAGGTGGGGGGGGGGGACTAATCCTGCGGGTAAACACAAGTTTGCACTATTGACCTAATCGCGCGCGCAGCGAGCAGGTCAATGGTCCGTCGCGCTGTCGCGAAGTCGTTTTTAAACGGAATCGCTTAAAAAACAACCTAGATTTTCCGTTAAGGTTCTGTGTAAACAGAGTACACTACAAAGACACGTGCCGATACTCGTGGGTGGGACCATCACTGTATTATAGAGCTCCCCTGATGACACTGCGTGCGCTTCTGCACTCGTTACTCGCACACCCTGAGGCTGGATATGTACACACACACGCACGCATGCAGGCACGCACGCACTGATACACACAGTCGCACGCACGCACTTACGCACTCGCTCATACATACACACACATACATACACATATACATATATACATATATACATATACATATACATGGTTCATACAGGAGGACTGAAACATTTTCAAGGACTTTTCAAGGACTTTTCAAGGAAATTTTATCAGAAATCCAAGGACATTTTATCGGACATTTTATCGTTATTTATACACAGAACAAAACATACCTGGATTAATTTAATAACCCCATTCTTAATCACTGTCACCTCTAAAACTTACCTGGATCACATCAATAAACCCTTCTAAACACTGTCACTTCTACAACATATCTTGATTTACTGACTTAAGGCCGCCGCACACCAGCCGATTTTTACAAACGATGAAGCGATGAAGCGATGAAGCGATGAAGCGATGAAGCGATGTAGGTGTGCGCGTTCATTTGTAGACGATTTTATTTTTATCGGGTGATCGTTCCAAATCAAACATGTTTGATTTTGAACCGATGAGCCGATGAGCCGATGAGCCGATTTTAAGGCCGCCGCACACCTACATCGCTTCATCGCTTCATCGCTTCATCGTTTGTAAAATCGGCTGGTGTGCGGCGGCCTTTACTGTAATTTGTAATTTGTATCATCATTTAACTTTCTATCGTGTCTATAGCTTTTTAAGCTCATTTAACGCAATTTTTATTGAGGTTTGCACATTATTGATGGTAAAAAATTACTTTTTATTACAGGCAAGGATTCTTTCTAAAAATTCAAGGGCATTTTCATAAAATTCAAGTATTTTTCAAGCACAAAATCAACATTTACTAATTTCAAGTACTTTTCAAGGACTTTTCAAGGACTGTGCAAACCATGATATATATATACATATCTACATATACACAGTCAACCAATGCTCTTATTTCACTGAAGGAAAACTCTATACAGAAAGCTCTACCGCAGAGAGGATTTCTGTTATTGCTGCAGCTTCGTGAGAATGGGTTACAAATCCCCATGAATGAACAGGACGATATATATCATTTACTGGTGGTATAGACAGCTGTTGTGTTTTTCCAGACATGTCGATGGAAGCAAATCCCGCATTTGGAAGCAAAACGGGGACAGTATAAAATCCGTATTTGCAAAGATGACAGCGAAACATAAAACACCACTTTAGAACAGTTGTGCAGTCAAACCTATACACGATGGTTATAGTAGCTGCCTCGTACAAGTAGCCGGAAAGGGTCACACAGTTCCGGGAAAAGCCAAAAATGTCTTTTGTCGACAGCTATCCGTTCTATGGAGGTAAATATTAGCCATACAACTGTCACGCGAGAGGAATGACAGAAGAGTGTACCTTGTAGACAGATGTCCGTTCTACAGAGGTGACCGCTAACACAGGTTTGACTGTAGACACAAGTACCCGCTGCACATATACCAGTAATATATGTGTCACATTATTAAAGCGCGTAAATGCAGGCCCAAGTTGCCTCTATTATTTATAAGTGTGACGTGGTGAGTGTGTATGAATGAGGTGGGGGCGGCGGTGGGGAGGGAGCTCACCTCTCTTTGACCTTTCTAGCGTACCAGTGAGAGAGAAATATAAGCAGCAGCAGCGCGTTGCGCCATCAACTGTGACTACGTGGTGACAACGCGCAGGCCACTATCACCCACCCACCTACCCACCCACCAGTGCTACCTGTCAGTATGCGCACATTCCAACATCATCGCAACTTTTCGCAAGGTCGTAAAAGCAGTCGTCTACGCCCGTGCGCACACACGACGCGCAGCCGACTTTCCTTAGAAAACAACCGCCTGTTCCAGGAACTAATTCGCGCGCGGGTGTCGCGGTCACGGCTATCTGAAATTCTGAACACACATCTATCTGTTTGCCTACTTACCGCTACTCGGGGCGTGTCCACCACGGAAGATAGAGTTTGTGGTCAGCCACGAATCGCACGGCGAGACGCAGGACATGGAAAAAAACAAGAGGGGGAAATTAGTTTGATGCGCTTCGAAACTTGTAATACGTACGTGTGCGTAACGATGCGTTCATCGTCTTGAGAGAGTTCTGTTATAGCAGAGCCTGGCCTGTTGAAATGGTCCCTGTTATAGCACAGTCATCTATGATCTCTGCCGCATATAAATAACGGTGTTGCAGAAAGACTACGCGCCGATGACAGTGACTTGCGTTATCTTACGACGAGAACCTAACTAAACACACATAAACTAAAAAATAACCAAACCATTAATACTAAATATTAAATACTTCAAACCCAGCTACTAAATATTATATATTTGAAAACTCTACTGTTTGACCGTAATATAAGACATTGCGAGGAATAAATACTACGAATTTATGCTCCTGACAGGAATTCGCTACAGCACAACAAGCTCTTGTCAACAATGTCTTCAGATTGATGAAAGCGTACCATCACGTGAATACTCGAGATATGGGCAGAAATAATACTAATTTCTCTCGGAATAAGTGCATCGGGCTTCAATATAATGTCAAGCATAATTTTACTTAAAGAAAAATCCAAACATAAACGTGTTGTTAACGACTAGTTGCGACAACCGGTCTTTGTCTTTATCAAACTGTGTAAAGTAGCTTGCGCTGATTTGCGTAGATCACTGGTAACATCTGTCTCTTCCAATCACGGTGAATTGAACCCGTAATTTTTCAACATTCATCACATTAGGCTGCAACTATATGTACGAAAGGAGAGGCCTGCCCTGTTGGCACTGATGCAGATCTCGCTAGCTGATGTATGCTGGAAGAGCTCACTACTCGATGCACTTGATTACGCCTCTCTACCTAACCACCTCGCCCATCTCGTGGGAGCTCTCTCACAGAGACACCGTTTTCTTCACAAATATGTGCCGACGACAATAATCTTTTGTCGCCATTCAAATCGGCTACCACTCCTCTGCGACTTCCTGCGCTCCAACACGTACTGCGCAAATTCCTCCACGCAGCAACCTTGTGCTGTTAACATCTCAGGTGCAAGGGTATGGTGGCTGGTGACATAGCTGTGTCACTGCGGATACCTTGCGGGCACGCTGACTACATACATACGTACATAATCACGTAGATGAGTTGAGCTGAATAGTGTCAGGGGGTCGGGGTGGCCTCCCACCGTGGGGAGGCTTTACCCTCTCTCCCCACCCCCTCACTATATCATCACGCCGATGACAGACTAGCTGGTGAAGATGGCACGCACGTACACGTATAATCACAGGTCCACGCGACATGACAGCGTAAGCAACGCACGTCCGCACGCGCGCACGCACGCACGCACGCAGAATTACGTTAACGGAACATAAACCGCCTTCCACCAGGGGTTAATAATGACAAATCTACAACAATATCTACGACAAATCTACAAGAAATATTTGTTATTACCAACCCCTGCTACCACGTACGCACGCCCACCCAAGTGCACACGTAAGAGCATATGAACACGAAGCGTGCCGGGTCCACTCATACTTATATGTATTATAATAATACCAGGAGTAAATAAACACACATTTATTTTGTGATTATTTACTCCAGATAATACACGCACTCAAACAGATTCACCAACAAATTCAACGATTCACACACGCGCACGCGCGCGCACGAGTGTGTATGTATGTGCGTGTGTGTGTGCGTGCGTGCGTGCGTGCGTGTGTGTGTGTTTGTGCGTGCATGCGTGCTTGCGTGCGTGCGTGTGTGTGTGTGCGTGTGTGTGTGTGTGAGTACGGGTGCGTGTCATTGTGTTTAATTAGGCGTATGTGTAGTGTAAGTGTAGCATGCTGATCTCTCCCCACGTCCCATAGAACAAGTTTTAAATTTGGAACAGCGCGAGCTTTAGTTATCCTTACCTGAATGCACCTGGCCACTCGCTCCCTCGCTCACTCACTCACCCACTCGCTCGATCATTGCTCGTGACAATAATTATAGATACAACCAACTCCGAATGAGTTCACTGTTTTACAAATGCGTGCGCGCGGGCCTGCATGCGCGTGTGCGTGCGTGCGTGCGTGCGTGCGTGCGTACATGCGCGTGTGCGTGCGTGCGCTAGTAAATCCGTGCTTCTACGGCTTGTTAATTAAGATGTAAACGATAAGCCAACAGACGTCAAGCGCGCGTAAATGAGTACAAGGCCAGACTATTGCAAATAGAAGGCCCGAAAAATAAAACTGAAATCAACCTATAACACACAATACCTATATACAATAACGCATACCCTACATATCCTACGTACAAGCGTATCGTATAGGCTAGCCACAGTTCTATTACATTACAGCGCAAACACTCAGAACTCTGCTCAACACATTACATATATATATATATATATATATATATATATATATATATATATATATATATATATATATATATATATTATATACATATACACGATTCAATCTCTCCCTAACAGAAATAAGTGTATGAAGCAAGGAGAAATCGCTAGAATATCTCGCAAGAAGAATATACACATGACACATAATATCAAGAGCATATAAAGAAGGTTTCTTTATATATGCTCTTGATAATATATATACCTGTGAGCATCGACTGCTTGATTTGTTTCACGTTCATCTTTTCGAATTCACGCGAAGAAACGAGTACAAACAAACAATACGCGTGTGCGATGAACTCTCTGTGACGGTGAACTGCCTGTCCAGCGGTGACTACTGCATGCGCGCAACCGTCAGTGAATCGAACGCGTTAACCGAAGTACGCAGTAAGGCAGAAAGTCACCTACCATAAACCGCCCTCCAACACTCTACTAACAGCGCACACGTGTGGCAACAGGCACGAGCCTTCCCATCTCTATCTCATCTCTCTCTCTCTCTCTCTCTCTCTCTATCTCATCTCTCTCTCTCTCTCTCTTTCACCAGCAGGAAATCCTGTCTTCACACCTGCCCCCCACTCACTCACTGCAACTTCGCTTACAATTCGCTGTCCGCTTCCTTCCTCCTGACATTATACAGACATCCAGGCTCCAGCATATGAATCCATTAGTACAGCCATGTCATGGTATACATTCGTTATACACACTGTCAGCATATACATCTATTACACACACCAATATTACAACCAGTACACACACTCTACAAACTTCCAGCATGTGCATCCTTAATATCAAGAGCGTATAAACCCTTGAGTAAGAGCATAAATGATTAAAAGGGTTACATTGATGTACCTAATGGTATATTAGATACAATAATGTAACCCAACACAGGCGTATGGTTACATTTGTTACGTTATGTATTGGGTTATACACCTACTCTTGTATCTCTTGTGCTGGGTTACATTATGTTAAACACAATAAATGTAATCCAACATAAGAGCAAGTTACATTTGTTGAGTGGTCACTGGTGTGTTGGATTACAGTATACCCCTACTACCCTTGTGTTGTTTATTATTGTATCAAAGGGGTTATAAGCTCTTGATGTTATTATCGTACATTGTAATGTAACATACATTTTGCACACTGCCAGCATATACATCCATTACATACACCCACATTACATCCATGGTACATACACTGCACCACAGCCACACCATACACACACGCTCACCGCAGCGTCAACATATTACCGTTGACAGCTCTAAGACATTCCCTGATACCTCTCTCTCTCTCTCTCCGTGGTTGAATCTCACGTGAACAGCTGTGTGCCAAGCCATACATACATACAGGCCGTACACGCACATAGCGTGCAGCATGCAGTAACGCACCAGCCTATATATCCCGCTCGATAAAAGCTCCGCGTGAACTAAACTCTGCGTTTCAGCGACATAGACACATCCCGGACATTATTGCACACGCAGGAAAGACGTATAAAAACATATATATGTACAACGTCTAGGATATAGGATGACTTTCGAGTTATCCTCGTAGCGGCACACACTAACGCATGCTCGTAAAATGTTTATAATATGAAGCATATATTGCCAGCACCACAAACTATTTAGCCCGGTTTATGTGCTCTTGATATTGCTGATGTGATATGGAACTTGCAGAACGAGCGTCTGATGTAGATGAACAAGCTATAGAATCTGACTAACTATCAAACTATAAGCGACTAACTACAGAGTTTTCATCCATACCTTAGGCAGTGTGTAATATCTGACAATTTCACATCAACGCGTTTGCTAATTGTAACACGATATAGAAATTTCGACAGCTGCATTCGTGTGAGAGTTATCATTTATGGCTTCAGATATTTCAAGATTCAGGCAGGCACACGCTACTCGCGATGTTGTGATATACACGTATCGTTGCGAACGACATTTGTAGTTCGCTGAAGTATTAGCAGGGGTAAATAATATATGTATTATAATTGGTAGTGAATAATCACAATTTGTGATTATATATTCCTCGTTATAATCAAAGTAACAGCAATAATATAAAATATCTAAAATATAAAATAATAGCATCTAATTAATAAATATCTACTAGTATATTATGCAGTCCTGATATTCGTTCGTCAGAAATAATTTCATGCAATCTTTGCCGGCGTTTCGATGCGATCAAACCGCGCCAATCTAATTAGGCCATATACACACCTAGTTTGTTATCCAAATCGTGGAAAGATGATCGAACGGGTGCCATCACAAGATCTCGCGATACTCAAATCAAATGTCGCTCGTCGAACAAGCACACGCGTACGCACGCACAGAAATTCACGGTGTAGATAGCTTGCCCCGTGAGTCGGTTCTGAGAGACTTGTAGGACAGATGCAGCGAGCGGCAAAGATTCAAACTGCGTGACTAATACCAACGGCCGTGTCTGCCGGGGAACGGGGGGAGGGGAGGGAGGGAGGGAGGGCGGTGCGTGCGGGCTAAACGTTGCCAACGAACTCTGCTAGCCCTGCTACAACCTACACACAACGCACGTACCCATGCTTGCTACCTACGCCAGCCGCATGTACTACCATTAAACATGTCCCAGCTTTCAGCACCTCCGATTCGCATCGGTACCCCCGGGGGTGGGGTGTGATGGAGTGGGCGTACCTGGGAGGGCACCGACGGCGGGAAATGAACGCAGAAAACTTTAATCCGACGAATATAAATAGATGCGATCGGTTAACGAACGAATGCGTTAAAAGATAACACGAGATCGCATTTTAAAAACGAATTTAACCTTTCTTGTTTGGGTGCCCGCCCCCACCGTCTTACAATAATTTGTCCCAGGTAACACCAGGGGTACACCTCGCCCGCTGAGTAGGCCAGTGGGGTAAGCCCACCCGATCATGTAGTCGGTTGATATTTGTGTCCGAACTAAAATCCAGCCCTAATATGTAGAAACTAATAGTAATTTGCTTATAATAACATAACGCGTATGTGCGAATATACTTCTGATGCTACTCACCCACCTACTAGATATACTAGATAGAGTACCCAACAATATATATATATCAAGAGCTAATAATACCTAGAGTGTACAACGGAAAAACGGGAAAATAGTGCTATTTCACGACTACATTATTCTACTTTGCCTGCGAGTCTAGAATAATTTCATGGTATTGCATTAAGCAGAATTCCTTGCTCTCTACAACAAGACCAACCGCTTGTCAATACGATACTCCTAGGCTGAGATATGAGAACAGACCACTATTAAATCCTCCATAGGAT